TTTTTTTTTTCTCAGTGGAAAATCTGCACTTTTGGAAAGTGTGGGTTGTTATCTAAGTTATGTCAGAATCTTCCACTGCAATAAGACAAATAAGACTTTAAATGTATATTGAGACCTCTACATTTCTCATAATGAGTTTTGAAGTTTTTCTAAAATTCCTGGAACAAGGCATTTACAAAGTACTGCAACTGAGCAACGTGACTGCAACTGAAAATAACAGCACCGTCTTGATTTTGTTAATTCATTTATATTATTTTGAAATAAATAAATAATAACATGTGCTTGTTTTCTGCTTGAAAATGTGAATACAATCCAGAAGAATGATTCTACTTTGAATGGTGTATAGATGATTTTAAGTGCTGTACTGCTGCAGGTTGCTGTAGCTGAAAGCAGGATGTGGTGTCAGATCTTTGCAAGCATTGTGGAGGTGTTGGGGAGGATGTGGTCAGAACGTTCTCGAGATGTTCGTGCTCCATCCTGCATCTTTCACACACCTGCTGCTGCACACAAGCCTCAAAGCTCATACACGTCTTCAGACGAAACCAATAAGCTGTTGAAAACTGGTGCAGAAACTGGTGATTCATTCGAGGAGCATGTTTGCAGGTTATTCTATCAACAGTCTGCACCACACACCCCCACATCTGTATTGTTTTTCTGGAACAAGTTGAACTCATGCATCATGAATCAGTTGCTCAGTCTGAGTAATTTGAAAAACATTAAAATGTTGTCAGTTTTTCCAGTAAATGATATAAAGCAATGCAAATCAAAAATACAATTATGTTATTGTGCTCTTTAATAACAAGGAAACGTTCCTGTTAATCCTCATGTAATATGTCAACAACATATTACATAAACTTTTATCTTAATTGCAGTGAGAACTGATTATAACAAAATGTCAACTTGATAACAACATTTCAAAAGTCCTCTATGAAAAATGTCAAAAGTTGCATAAAAAAAAGTTGCCATACTATAATGTATAACATTTCTGAAAAATGCATTTCTATCTTGTGATAAAAGACAGGGTTAATGCTGAAATGGTATATATTTGATTAAGCCAAAGGAACACATTAAAATAATTTTATAAGAGATTAATTTTGAATTGATTATTGCTTTCACCCAAAAATAATTTGGGGTCTCTGGGACTCCAAATATAAAAACAGTAAACTCAATCTCAACACGAGGGTTATATTTTATAGATCTTTTTCACACCTCTTTCAATCAAGCAGCTTCTGAACTAATCTAGCCTTCAAATTAACTCAAAAAGCACTTTTCGTCCTGGAGTGTTTTTGTACAGCTTTCATTGTGGTCTGTTATACTGTGGGGACTGGCTGCACAGAACCAAACAACAGAACCGACATCGGTTACACTCTTGGACTCCAGTACTATTTGAAGAAGCCCTGGTCTGTTAGATGATAAATCCCCCATGTTTTCTGGATCCACATTTCCTACACCGAGAGAACTGAACACCACCTTGAAACCATCTGTCGGGGTCCAACGGTACCAGTAGAGGTTTGGGTTATCAGTGCCTGTGATGGAGCAGACAACCTTCAGTGGTTCACCTGGTTGAAGAATAAGCTCCAATGGGTTTTGGTTTACCTGAAGACCTGAGATCAAAATAACTGTTATGAGTAATTTAGGACTTAAGACATTGTAAATCTGGTTTTGAGCAAATCAGCAGCTTACACATAATGGCAGGCCATTGTAATGATCCAAACAATATAGCAAAATACAACTGCATCATGAATAGCTGAACTTAGCAAAGTCTTGAGACTTAAATAATCGTGGTGTGCCTCTAGAGGTGGGGTTGGGTGGTGTAGCTCGGTGGATAAAGATCTAGGTTGGTAACCAAATGGTTGTAGGTTTTCACCTCAGGGGGGGAATCAACTATCAGAACTTCAGAAAGATACTATATAACTAACAAGAGTGTAGTTGTTCCATTAACTGCTCAAAAATATAATAAAATTAACTGAACTTGCCTACTTTTCAATTAGGACCTATTGTAACCACGTGTATATAGTACTTTAAACAGAGGCATCTAGCACGGCCTACTGCTTAGCCTAAGCAGTAACATTGTCATGTTACTTTGGTTATGTTTCAGAACTAAATAATAAATAAATGTTGATGTCTTGTCTAAACACCATATATACAATAATCATAAATGTGTCATAATATTCATAATCCATGATAGGTCATTGGGTAAAGAACACAGGAAACAAGGCATTACTGTTATCAATGGTCTGGAGAGGAATAATGGTTAAGACTGGATAGAACCAGATCCATGAGGTTACAAAAATTAATGTGACACTACGTTTCCTCAGTAAGACGTTAAAGAGATATTTGAGCTCTGTGAGCCGCCGCCACGCTTATTATATCTGTAATATTATATGTTAGTTCCATCTGCTGGATTCATGTTTTATTGCGGCTTCAATGTATGACAGTAATACCTAAGTGATATTTAAAATAAACTTTCAAGGTTGTAATGCATGATTACATATTACCTTAGAGTATACAGTTATTATTTGATATAAATGATTTTCAGAAATATTTTTCCATTTTTTGTTTTATTAATTTATTGACGACATTCCTAAATTATACATTTATTTGGATAAAAGTATCTTAAAAAGAATAAAGCATATCTATCTATCTATCTATCTATCTATCTATCTATCTATCTATCTATCTATCTATCTATCTATCTATCTATCTATCTCGGATATGCGGAGTTGGGTGGTTTGGCTTAGTGGTGGAAGATCTTATTTGGAACCTAATTGAATGTCCTCACCTTACAGGAAGTAATTCAATAGTAATTTTAGTATAAGCATATTGTGTCCTTGTGTAAAACACTAAACCTTGACTGCTCAAGAAGAAATGTCTATCGAAAAAGTGTACTGTGCATCACTTTAGATGAAATTCGGAGGAAACATCTCTTTATGCACCGAAATTCATTAAGGAAGTTAGGAAATTGAGGTTTTTGTACAGCAACACAGTAAGTCTGTGTCACTGTGTTCAAATGCATGTTATGTATTTATATCTATTTTAGAACATTATTTGAAGGCTGGTCGCATACATAATACAGTATTTTGTGGTTTATTTGTGTAGCTTCACCTTGTGGAACCCATAATATTGGAGTCAGAATGTGTAACATCACTGGATTTTAAGAAATAATTGAAAAGCATAACAATTTTAATAAACACCATGATTGTACAAGTGTCTATTTTAGTAAATAGCAATATGTTTTTTCATCCATATATTTCTGAAAGCATATGGAACTTGATACATTTTGTCTCTGTCTCTGGTGTGACACCATGTCCTGATTTTAAATCGGTCAATTCCAGAAAAAAAACTTTAAGAATCATTTTCAGTGTTCTTAAATGCAATACTTAAACTATTTTCTAATGTTTTTGCAGGTAACTTGTACAGTTAAAAAGTGTCGTGAAAATAAAGTATAACATTTTATCTTTTTTTTTTTGGAAAAAGAGAGAATTGAGGGAGAGAAATTAGTGGAAAAGAGAGGACATGTAAATATAGTCTGAAAATGAACAGGGATACACGCAGAAGGGAGGAGATCCTAAGAGAGTGATGCTGAAAGAAAACAGAATCAAAATGATGCCTTAAAAAGTAGCCACTTAGTTAAAAAAAAAAATTCACATCTTAATGAATTTCGTTTTAAATATCAATCATATTTAGCTGTGCCGCACATGCAGCAGGGGGGCTAGAAGAGTTTCAGTAACATACTGATTGACTAAGAGACTTGACTTTTGTTGATGAAAATTATTTTTTGTTTTGTTAAAAAAAAAATTGATATTGTTTGTATCAAAATGAAACTTTCTTACTTCTTTTGACATGTTCAAAATGAAATAGAAATACATTAATAACTACCATTTCTATGGAAGTTCTAAGCGGTCATGCATTATAATTTTTTTCCTTCTTGTTTTCTTGTTATAACGACTTATTTTCTCGTTATATCGACATAACGAGAGTTGTTTTCTCGTTATAACGACTTATTTTCTCGTTATATCGACATAACGAGAGTTGTTTTCTCGTTATAACGACTTTTTTTCTCGTTATATCGACATAACGAGAGTTGTTTTCTCGTTATATGACTTATTTTCTCGTTATATCAACATAACGAGAGTTGTTTTCTCGTTATAACGACTTAATTTTCTCGTTATATCGACATAACGAGAGTTGTGTTCTCGTTATAACGACTTATTTTCTCGTTATATCGACATAACGAGAGTTGTGTTCTCGTTATAACGACTTATTTTCTCGTTATATCGACATAACGAGAGTTGTGTTCTCGTTATAACGACTTATTTTCTCGTTATATCGACATAACGAGAGTTGTTTTCTCGTTATAACGACAATTTTCTCGTTATATCAACATAACAAGAGTTGTTTTCTCGTTATAACGACAATTTTCTCGTTATATCAACATAACAAGAGTTGTTTTCTCGTTATAACGACAATTTTCTCGTTATATCAACATAACAAGAGTTGTTTTCTCGTTATAACGACTTAATTTTCTCGTTATATCGACATAACGAGAGTTGTTTTCTCGTTATAACGACTTAATTTTCTCGTTATATCGACATAACGAGAGTTGTTTTCTCGTTATAACCACTTAATTTTCTCGTTATATCGACATAACGAGAGTTGTTTTCTCGTTATAACGACTTAATTTTCTCATTATATCGACATAACGAGAGTTGTTTTCTCGTTATAACCACTTAATTTTCTCGTTAT